CATGGGGGAAACATACAATAATGTGTGTGTGTGTGTGTGTGTGAGAGAGAGAGAGAGAGAGAGAGAGAAAACGAACCAACAGGACTTCAAAGCGCTATAAAGTCGCATTATTACCTGCTGGTTAGTTTTCTTCATAAGACTGGTTTATAGAACATCAGGTTATTAAACCTGAAAGACGAGACAGACCCCCGTGCTGGGGACAGATCCCAGCCTGAATCCTCCTCACAGGGAAGGGAAGGGTCCCACATGGGGAGGAGGGGAAGCACTGATGACCATGCTGGGGAAGGCGGAAGACAAAGTCCTGCCGGGGCTGCAGGTGGACACCCCCTGGCCCTGCTCCTGGGTTCCCGGCCCCGGGGGGAGCCTGGCTGTGTAGGGGGTGGACTTAGATGCCCCCTGTACTGTAACATGGCCCCCGACCTAGAGCCTTCAATTTGAAGGGGGCAGAGGTTTTCTTTACCCCCACCTCAGCTTTCTGTGCTCCCCGCACCCCCAACTCCATCGTACTTAATTCCTCCTAATACCCCTGTCACAGTCTTCCCCTCAGAAACGGCTCAGCTTGTTCACAACGGGGCGTAAGTGACTGACAAAGCTAGAAGTGCTGCCTCTCCCAGGGACACTGGCCCTCCAAGCCAGGCGTGACTTTCCACTGGGGGCCTCTCCTCCATGGCGTAAGAATACAGGTGGGAGTGGGCACAGCTGGCACCACACCGAGTGTCCCTTTGGCAGGCTGACCTAGTCTAAGCCATGCCCTGCCAGTCTCAAGCTCTGGTGGACAGCAGTGGAAAAACAGGCCCACAGCCTGGCCTGGGGGCGGGGAGTGCCCCGCACCCCCACCCCCCTGCCTGCTTAGAGGAAGTGAGTGGGTCCTGCCCCAGGGCCTGAACCTGACTCAGTGGTTCCTGGAAGCTGGTGATGTCACGGTGACATAGCGGTTCCCCTCCGCAGCCAAGTCAGTAGGAGAGAGTGATGAGTGTCTCTCGCTGGCACTGAGGCCCGAGGCTCTCTTGGGGGTGACCAGGTCCTCTGGACCTCACAGGCCAGCCCCGTAGTGCTGCCTACACCAACCGCTCCCTTCTTCCCGTTTCCACAGCGGGACCACCTGTCCTCACAGGGACCCCATATCCTGGGCAATCTCAACTGATTTTAAACATTCTGCCCCCTTGTCCCCCCCAACCCTCCCCCCCAAAAACAAATTCACAAATCATAGAAAATCATCCCAGGTCTGACCATGTCCCTGAGGCTTTGGGAATACGAGGCCACCATGCTTGATCCAAAGCAGGGCACGTCGTAATGTGCGTCCCGTGTCTTTCTCGTGTCACATCTGCACGTCTTTTCAATCATACTAGGAGTGCCGAATAGAGAACTGGGTCCCTTTCTTTTGTCCCCTCCAGGACTCCCCAGCCACGGTGAGGATGTGGAAAGCTAAAAAGCTGGGTGGGAGGGTAAAGTCCCCACCTGGTCCTGGTCAGGTCTCTCTTGTTACTTCCTGGGGCGCCCGCATCTGCTTCAGGGCCCTAAGATAGGTAAGAAGAAGATGCCTCTTGCTTCTGGCGGATCAGCGCTACATCGAAAGGTACCAGTCAGTCCTGGCGCGGGTTTGGGAAAAGAACGGGGATACTTTCAGAAAACCACTCCTCACTCCCTACTCCCTTGTCTCCGGCCCAGTCTCCGGGAGGCGCGTGTCAGACTCACGTGGAGTAAAAGGAATCCTTTGTCAGCCGGAGTCGGAATCCAAACGCCGCCTCTGCGGCCCTGCCAGACGCCCAGTCTGTCTCCGGAGCCCCGACGCGGCCTTACGCTGCCCGATGCTGCCCCCTGCCGGACGCTCCGGCGCACAGCCCTCACCGCCGGGCTTGCGGGCTCTGAGCCTCCGCCGCCCAAATGGAGGCTTTTCATCAACTAAAGTTGTCAGAGCAGCTAATAGCCCATGAACACGGAGAAAATTAGGCTTCTCCAAGTGAATTGGGTGTTGAAAGACACCGAGATAAATGATGGTGACAGTGAGAATGACTGATGGAGATTCAAATCTGCAATGACATGGTGGGGGCGGTGGGGGCAGAAGGAACCAGTGTTTATTCCGACCACTTCATTTAAATCGAGGCTCACAACACCGGAGAGGCAGGTGTTCTGAGCCCCTGTTCTTAATGAGAGACGGAATCGCGTCTCAGGTTCACTAGTGTTATACGGAGGTTATACGGAGAGTAATCGGTGGAGCCAGGACTTAAACTCACTGACCGCAGAGCTCTGTGACATCGAGTGTCCCACCACCGAGTGCAGTGAGAGCAGAATCCTGCCCAAGAGGAAGATCCCTTTACGTCGTGAACTGGGTTTTTGGAATGAAGGCGAAATTTCAGCCGCATTCTCTTTGCTGAGAGTTTTAGCCGTAGCCCCTGCGCCGTGATTTGAGGGATGAGTGGTAGATCTCCCTACTTGAAAATCTCTCTCCAGCTTTGCCGGCAATGTCACTGTAGGCGAGTCCTCCCTTTGATTCACATCATCTAGCGGGTACTCACTTGTTGACTGAAAATAACCGATCCTGAGCGGGAGTCACGCGTTAACTCTGCCACCTTTGTTTCACCTCGGTGGGGTTGGCTTGTCATTTGGCTCACATTTTCCCTGCGCCATCTCAGATATCAGTCCACATCCCCATGCCTTTGCCCGGGCTTCGTTTTTGCTAGGAAATCTCTTCCCCTTTGGTGGTCAGCTGACCACTCCTCAAGTAGGAGGTCCGCCATCCCTCCACGGGCTCTGATGAAGTTATCTCTGTTCCCACCCCCAACCGGCAATGAGAGGTCAGTCTTTAGATCTCTGTCTCCACTAAGCCTGGGTGCCTAAGTGAATGAATGAATGGGTGAGTAAATGAAGTCAGCTGATGAGTGGGCTATCCATTTCATAGGACGTGCTGCTGCTTTGAAATGAATGCAAATCAAACCATGGCTGCACTTGTGAATGCTGCTGTGACATACACAATGTGTATGTCTGTGCATGGGTGGGATGTGCCGGCTACGCTATGATAAATAATTTGATGGGCCTTGAACTTACTCACACAAGCAGAATAGTTTCAGAACATTGCCATGGAGACGAATGAGGACTCAAGCAGCAGGGTATCACTTAGGCAGTGACAGATTTTACAGAAAATGGGCTTAGATACACCTTTCTTGTCCAAAAAAAAAAATCCCCTATCTAATGGGATGAGTGCTGCAAGGCAGAATAAAAACTTGCATCCCCCCCACAATGAAGAAAAAGGCCCTGAAGTTAGGAAAACAGGAAGTAGCAGGTCAAGAAGACCAATTCTTGGCCATAGACCGAAAGACTAAGGAGAAAGAGGGCGCTGGAGGCCTGACGTGAAGCTGAAGTTCCTGTTATTATCAGAACATAAACAGAGGAAGAGGTTTCAAATATATAATTACGTTAAAGAATATGAGCAGGGAATTCTGTTGTGGGAAGTGACGAAATATTGCAGAGGATATTTAGGGTTGGAGGAAACTGGTCCCTTGGACTGTAGCAAAGCGCTAATCATTTTTACATAACTAGAACTAAAGTCTTCCAATTCTTACCCTGCAGAGAATAACCTTCTCTGTCATTCCCTGTCACAAGCCTCCAAATCAGGGAATGAACTTTGATACACCACTGCTGTCCAATCACTACTCCCCCCTGACGTTTTCAATCTGTCCCAACAATGTCACTTTCTGGTCCAAGATCATATCCAGAAATGCATATGGCATTATTCTCGTGCCTCTTTAGTCTTCTCCAATCTGGAGCAGTTCCTTAATCTTTCCTTGTCTTTCACGTTCTCAACTCTTTTAAAAGTGTACAGGCTGTCCCTACCGAGTGGGTCTGTCTGGTAACGTCTCCTGGCCAGGCTTGGGTCATGATTTCTTGGTAGGAATACTGCAGAAATGCTGCTGTGCTTTTCTCAGTGAATTACGTGGGCGTGGGCTGGAGGAAATGTGATGGTAGCCCATCCTATGACTGATGAAATTTGTGTGGTTTTTTTTGTACCTTTTGACCACTTTCATCCATTTGGTGATACTTATCTTGATCACTAGTCATGTTGGTGTCTGTCAGCTTTCTCTCAATGTAAAGTCATTTCCCCCTTTTATATTGATTGGCATTTTGAGGGGAAATATTCTTGCTCTTTATCAAGCTTCCATCCGACAATGTTGGCCTCTACATCTCCTGCTGGATTCAGCCACTGCTCTAACAGTTGCCAAATGATTGTTTTCTATTTGCATTATTCCTTCTCCTTTTATTAGCTGTCAGGCTGCTGGAATAAACAGCTTTCCCGTTTTGCACATTTGTATGTGTATATGTGTGTGTGTGTGTGTGTGTGTGTGTGTGTGTGTGTGTGTGTGTATTTCAGTAAGGACTCTTATTAAACATGTTGTATTCCATTGCTATCTTTGTATATTTTTATGTTCATATTGCCCCAGATATGGTCAGTGGTCCCTTCAGACTGGTTCCTGCATCCTTCTGAGTTGTCCCCTTCATTCTCAGCATTTTCTCAGCACTTTATGGTACAATGATATGTCCCAGGTTCATCTTGTATTTTTCCTATTTCAGCCTGGAATTAGTCCTTATTCCAAAGAGCCCTGCTTCCCTTCAGTGGAGGATGGTATGTAGAAACCAAGATCTGGGCACTTAGAGTGTTTATTGTTTCTGGGAAGTCATTCCAGGTCCTTTCAGTGGAGAGACTTAGAAAATATATGTGTGCATATACACACGCATATGCACACACACTTAAATCTATTAACTATTTCTATATCTACCTGTGTTTATATATTAAAACACCCACAAGTTGATACTTAAACCTCCAATTTCAATCCACCTTCAATGTTCTTTACAGCGTCCTCTCTCTCTATATCAGTAACTCCCTTCTCCAACCTGGCTCTCATTTTCATCCATATATGTACCTATTTTGCTGACTCTTCTATGCCAGAAAGAAAAGGGAAGAAGAAAGAGAAAAGGAAAGGAAATAAGAGAAAGCCTGTGCGGATCGTTTTAACTTAAAGCTAAAAGAAAGGGAAAGAAGATGACATTTTATCTAACCAGCAAGTGCTTTATCAAGTACTGATTATTAAGAAAGTACAGATAGATGCACATGCACATATGAATTGGTAATGAATATTGTTTTAATAATTTTTAAATGATTTATGCTTAAATAGAATACCTTGATAATATCTCTGTCTTCACAAATGCCACAAATGCCTTGCAGGTAGGAGGATTGCGAAACATAAAATAGTAGTGATAGGATCAAAGAAATATCCAAGGACAATTCACAGTTGCGTACAGGCCACAAGATAGGAACATGTCTCAGAATTTTGCAGACAAGGTTAAAAAAATATCATCCTCTATAGTTGAAGCCAGCAAAAATCAACCTCAAATGAATGAGAATAACCACTTGTGGGTGGAGCCATCTTAAAAGATGAATTGTAATTGGCTACTGGATACAGCCAGGGTGCTTTCCGCATCTCCGTCAAGGAAACTGGAGAGGCTTCCCAGACCTTCCTGCGCAGTCCTTCATTCATTCAACGCTAGTCATGTTGGCGTCTGCAGCAAAGTTATCCTTTCTCTCTTTGGAATTACATGTTAGTCTGCAAAGTGCTGGGAGAATAGAACAGGAGAAAATATCGTCTTCATATTCAGAAAGTTCATAGTCTGGTTGGAGGGACAGACCAGTAACCAGGCCATTTCAATGCACATGCCTTGAGAGGAGTGAGCATTTGACTGACTAAAAGTTGACGCCTTCGGGAACATGATGCTGAGGTTTTGTGTAATATCTGTGTCAGCACAGTTTGGGCATGACACCAAAAGGCATGGGCAGTATCTTGGCACCAGTGTCAGCCCTACCTAGATGCATCTGGGGACTTTTCCAGTACTAACCAGAGAGTGCTGTTTGTTATATCACAAAAAATCCTCCAGGTCTGAATGACTTAAAGCTGGGGGCAAAGGTCACCTTTGGAAGATAATTCCTATGTCATTCCTGAAAAGTCCATGCTGCATTATGGATTATTGCGGTGATGAAAGGGATGAGTTGCTAAACTGGGGAAAATGATACAAAATAGAGAGAAGAGCTTAAATATATAAAACGATAAAATATTGTCAAAATTATTACTTTGATGTAGGCTTTAGAAGTCATAGCATCTTATCCCATGATACCGACAGGCGATAAAAGGCTGATATATCTCCAAAGCATTCGCCGGCCACTCTGGGCAGCATCCTCTCTACTGGGAGCCACAGCCATGGAACGAGGTCCCCACTGCTGGTCGCAGACAGCCGGGGTCTGTTCTGGGAGCTGGATTTAAGGGAGATCTTAGCAGGGCCAGGTGATGGACTGTGGAGGAGGTAGAACTTGGTTCGAATTCTGCCTCCTCCATGCGTGACTTGGGGCCTATAACTTAGGCGCTCCAAGCTTCTCTGAGCCATTGTTTGCTTACCTGCAAGATGAGAGCACCACACTGCTGTCAGGATCAGAGAAGATGGTGCATGTCGGGGGGCCCCGGTGGCATGACCACGGGAGACCCTTTCTCTCGGACCACCCTGACTTCATCAGGATACCACAGGCCCGGCGCCCACTTACCGATGCTGTTCCTTTTCTCCACGAGGCCTCCCCTGGCCCCTGGAACCCAGAGGAAACTCTCTTCCAACCCCCCCGTCTCATCGCCTGCATAGATCATATCCTGCTTTGCGGAGTGAGCTTTCTATTTCTGTATCTGCATTTTACTTCCGCAACTTGACTTATCTCTTTCAGAGCAGAGACTTTTCATCTTTTTTTATGTTCCATTTTTGAATCTCAGCACAGTGCCTTTTTGCACATAACTGCTTGAAAAATAGCAATCGATTGCTATTTCACCCACTTTTGTCTCCTGAAAATCACTCACTACAGCATCAAGAGCTGAACTCAGCCTACATAAGGTCATTACTACAAAGTAATGTGTTTATTCATTTATCTGTTTATCTAGCAGCCCTACCATGATTCACACATCCAAATGAGGCTGCTGCCTTATAAGGAGGCACCACGAAAGCCATAATTCCAAGGAGCCTGGCACCTCTCAAGGCATTTTTGGAACTCCTGCTTTGAATCAGTGCCAGAGTCAGGCTGGTGAATCCTCACCCCTGCTGGGAGGAGGTATTTTCGGCAAGCGTGAAAGTCGTCCTGGCCAAGGTGGGCGG